CCTGCTCAGCGGAAGCCTGCTTCTCCCTCTCCCGCTCCCCCTGCTTGTGTTCCCTTTCTCACTGTGTTTCTGTCAAATAAATAAATAAAATCTTTAAAAATAAATAAATAAATAAATAAATACAATCTTTAAAAAAATTCAAAAAAAAAGAATCCTCACACCTGTACCTGTGACTTAACAGGTGTCAGCAGTTTGGAAACTTCTTAGCTATTATCAGTTCAATAATTGCTTTGGTCTCAGAGTGCCTGGGTGGTTCAGTGGTTAAGCGTCTGACTCTGGGTTTCCACTCAGGTCATGATCTCAGGGTTGTGAGATTGAGCCCAGCATCAGGCTCTGTGCTCAGCACGGAGTCTGCTTGGGATTCTCTCTCCCTCTGCCTTTCCCCCTGCTCTCCTTCTCTCTAAAATAAATAAATAGGGGCGCCTGGGTGGCTCAGTCGTTAAGTGTCTGCCTTCGGCTCAGGTCATGATCCCAGGGTCCTGGGATCGAGCCCCACATCGGGCTCCCTGCTCGGAGGGGAGCCTGCTTCTCCCTCGCCCTCTGCCCCTCCCCCCCAGCTCGTGCACTTTCTCTCAAATAAATAAAAATCTTTAAAAAAAAATAAAATCTTTTAAAAAAATAAGTAAATAAAATCTTTAAAAAATAATAGTTGCTTCGGTCTCACTTGCGCGCTCCTTTCTGAGCCCCCACTCACCTGGGATCAGGCACCTCCCAGGACCCTGTCTTTTATCATGCCTTTTCTGTATTTCATTCTGTCCTTCCTTCCACTTCACTAGTTCTCTCTTGAGTTCTAATCTGCTCTTAAACATATTGGTTTTTTTTTAAACATATTGTTTTTAAAAACAACTTTCCTGAAATATAACAACATGCTGTGCATATTTCAAGCGTGCAATGTGGTTAGGGTGAAGCCGTCACCACAATAAAAACCATGAAAATACTCATTACCCCCGAAAGCTTCTGCATGCCCTTTCAGAGTGTACCACATTCTTCGTTCCAGCTCTACTTTCTCTGGCTCTCATGTTCTAAGTTGCTTCCCTTTTAACACTGCTGCCTTTTAGGACAGTTTCCAAATCTCTGCTGCAATTTTCAATTTTGTCCTTTATGCCCTTAAACATAGTAAGTAATATAATATCTGAGCCTCCTAACAGCTCTTCCTGCTTCTCTACTTGCTTCCTTTCCAGAACGTTCTCTACAAAGAGCCAGAGTAATTGTTTTAAAACAAAACTTCTCCCTACACCCTCTCAGGTCCCATCCCTCTTCAGGAGCCTTGTACCATCGCTCAATAAACTTTGCTTTGCTGCCCACCAAAACACCCCACAAAACTTCTCCCATCATTTCTTTGTTTGAAACTCGCAACTATTTCCCTGCCTGCCTCCTCGCCTCCTCTTCTCCCCCAGGCCACTAAGCAGCAGCCACACTGACCTTTGTGCTGTTCTCTGAACAAAATAAGCTTTTTCCTGCCTCAGAGCTTTTCTATTTGCTATTTCTTCGGTCTGGACTATTCCCTTCCCAAACATGCACACTGCTGGCCCCTTCGCATGATTCAGGGCTTTTGCTCAAATATCACTGAAGCCTTCCCTAGCCTCCATATCTAAAAGAGCCCTCTCCTCCCTACTCTCTGTCCCTCACTCTGCTTTACTCTCTTCACGGCATTTAGGACTACCGCTCGTCTGCCATCTCTAGTTACAGGCTCCACAGAGGGGAAGTTTTGTCTGTTTTGTTCATATCCCAGCACCTACAGTGGTGCCCACAGGTACTCCAACGTTTGTTGAAGGCATGCATGGAAACAGACTGACTGCAAAGCCGAGTTCCCACCATTCAGCACTACTGCCTTAGCAGCTACCTAACCTAGCAGAGACTATTACCAAGAGCTTACCTAATGCAGATCCTCAGCTATGGATGTTCTGTTTTTTTTTTTAAAGGGATCTATTTTTTTTTTTAAGATTTTTAAATTTATTTATTCGCCAGAGAGAACAAGGAGGAGAGAGCGAGAGTACAAGCAGGGGGAGCAGCTAAGCAAGGAGCCCGATGTGGGACTTGATCCCAGAACAGTGGGATCATGACCTGAGCCGAAGGCAGATGCTTAACTGACTGAGCCACCTGGGGGTCCCATTATGGATGTTCTGAGAAGGTCTCTGCCAAAAGACCCACAAGATCTCTGTGTCATGACCAAGTTGGGCAAGTACTACAATGATCCATCATCTAAGGGCTTCTTTGAAAGGGGACCGAGGACCCTGGGGGCCTCTAAGAAAGTGGTAGGAACTCTCTTTCCTTTGCATCCAGTTATGTCCAAGCCGAGAAGCAGGCAACGTCTGATTAAAGCACCAAGTTCTCAGAAGGGAAAGGTTAACAATTCAGTAGACTGTTCCTTCATCTCTATACACGGGCTCCAACATAAACGGACAAGGTCCTTACGACCACATAAGCCCTTGCTTTACTAGTCCCACTGGAAAGATCAACAACACCAGTGCTTTGACAGCATGACTTTCAGACAGCTGCGCACAGTGACACAGAGGAGGAGCTGGTTGAGTGAAGTCAGACCAGCATCACCTTGAACTAACTATGGAACTTGGACAAATTACTTATACTCAGAGCCTCAGATGACATTAATTGCAAAATGAGCATAATTCTTCCTACCATCCTGGATCACTAAGAGGACGTACTGAGGTGACACTTTCTAGCAAATGTCTCACGAACTGTTGAACAAATGCTAGTTCACGCCTTCTCCACTCGGAGCACAGAACGTTCACTGGGCTGCTCCCAGTACACACGTAAGAGACAGGCCACTGCTGTGACACGCTGGCGCCGTTAGGTAAATACCTTTAGCTTCTTCAGTTCAAGTTGGTGGTGTTGTAAAGAACGTTCACATTCATTCTTACTTTCTTTGAGGGCTGCATTTTCTTGCTCCAGCTCTCTCTGCAAATTGAGAAAAGCACGTGTAAGAAGAAAAGGGCTTTCCCCTATTTCCCCCAGGGGCACAGTCCTACAGACATGGAGCCTTTTAAAATGCATCGCACCCTTTGTGTCACTGCAGGGGCGGGAGAGGAGAATGGGGCAGGGGTCAGAAAGAGCCAGTGGACACAGGCCTCACAAGAAGAAACATGGCACTGGACTCAGAAGATGTGGAACGGGGAAGGGGACCAGAGAGCAGAAGGAGCCCCAAGGGAGGAACAAGAACACTGTGGAGACTTGGTGGGAACAGGCTGAAGGGGCTGCACAGGAAGTGCCAGCAAGTCCCTGCACAGCCCGGAAGAAAAGGAAAGCCATCTGTTTGGGGGCTTATTAACAGCAGCCTTTTTACAGCCATTCTCATGAGCAGGTGCCTTGTTGGAAAAATAAAAACTGCTCCAAAAAGTGGTTCCCTCGTTTGGGGGGGGGGCTGGGCCTGTCGCCAGGAAAGACTTGGCAGCCCCGCCCCGTGGGAAGCTGGCGCTCACAGGCCGGGGCTCTCTCCTCTCCTCGCTCACCACCTCCCGCTCCTCCGCTGTCTGCGCCCCCCCCCACCCCACCCCCCGGTCTCTCTCCAGGGCGGCGAGCGGCGCCTCGAGCGTGCACACGCGCTCCAGGCACTGCGGCTCCAGAGCCGGCGCCTGCCGGGGCGCAGCGCTGCTCTCCCGGTTTGCGGCAGCCTACGGCGGGGGGACGACAGTTAGCCGTGGGGACGCCGAGGACCCCATTCTCCTCCTCAGTGAGCCAAAGATGGGTGACCAATAGAAACAACTCTCGTTCCTGATCTCTGGCCTGGGAGCTGTGGCGGTCCCCACCTGCAGCCCCGCCTCTTGCCGCTGGCCCGTTCAGAAACCAAAGTCTGGGACTGGTCTCTGTGCTGGGGGGACACCTTAGGGCATCGGCCAGTCCCAAGACACAGCCCTCCTTCCCCTACTTGGTGCTGCTTTCTACGGCTGAGGCTTTCCCCGGGGAGGCAGTGTAGATCTCCTTCAGTTTATGATGGGGTTGCAACCCGATAATCCCATTGTAAATTGAAAATACGAAGTCAAAACAAGCATCACGGCTTAGCCTAGCCTACTTTAAATGCTCAGAACAGGGGCGTCTGGCTGGCTCAGTCAGCAGTGCGTGTGACTCTTGATCTCGGGGTTGAGAGTCTGAACCCCACATTGGGTGGAGAGATTAAAATAAAATCTTTTAAAACAAAAATCTTTAAAAAAATTTTTTTTTAATTAATTTATTTGACAGAGAGAGACAAAGTGAGAGAGGGAACACAAGCAGGGGGACTGGGAGATGGAGAAGTAGGTTCCCTGCTGACAGACAGCCCGACGAGGGATTCAATCCCAGGATCCTGGGATCATGACCTGAGCCGAAGGCAGACGCTTAACGACTGAGCCACCCAGGCGTCCCAAAAAGTTTTTTTAAAAATTGCTCAGAACACGTACATTAGCCTACAGCTGGGCAAAGCTTATTTTATACTGAAGTGTTGAGTATCTCATGTAATTTATTGAATGCTGCGCTCGAAGTGAGAAACAGAAAGGCTGTATAGGTACAGATCAATTGTTTACCCTGTGATCACGTGGCCGCCTGGGAGATGGGGCTCCCTGCCACTGTTGCTCATTGAGGGAGAGTACCGTACTGCCAATCCTTAGCCCAGGAGAAGCTCAAACTTCAAAATTTGAAGTACAGTTTCTACCAAAGGCATATTGATTTTGCATCTCATAAAGTTGAAAAATCACTAAGTTGAACCATCATAAATCAGGGACCATCTATATAATACAGTGATGATGAACAAGGGCTTTGACGTAAGAAAGGTGAGGGTTTTGCCATTTATTAGCTGGGAGACCATGACCACTGGGTTACTGACCCAGTTTTTCCCAACCAGCTTCCTCTAGAGAATGAGGCTAATTGCACATGCCTCTTAGGTCTGTAGCAAGGACTAAGTGAAACACGGGCAGAATACTTTAGCACAGTGACTGGAACGGCAAGCATACAATAAATACTGTTTATTTCTCTAGATTCTAACTCAGCACCCCACCCGGGACTGCGACAGCTGGCCAAGCCCTTGCCATGTTCTCTCCAGAGCTGGGACCTGTTCTCCACAGCCCTGGCTACAAGCCACCACCTCTAACAGTCCCAGAACTAGGCTGGGCCCTACGGCCAGCCATCAGATGGGCATTTGCCAGGCTCCACCTCTTTGGGTGACTCGGATCCTCCAGCAGGTCCTGACTCCCTCTACCCGAAGCTGCCCGCTCATATCCAGCTCCACAGCTGTATCTAAGGTCAGGTCCAGAGACCCCACTGGAGTGAGTCTGGGGCAGCTGCAAAGGCATAAAGGGCAAGCATCAGGGGCCCAGAACCACTTACGAGCTCCTGAATCTGAGCTTCCTGAGCTGCCATGACATCACCACTGTGCTTCAGCTTCTCCTCAGACGCTTGCAAACTCAGCTCGAGTTCTTTCACCTGAGGGGGAAAGAGAATCCTTCTTTCATTCAAAAGAAGCTGAAGAGTGGTAACATATGGCTTTAAAAATCAAATCCATTTAAACTGTAAAAGAGGTACATTACAGAAAAGTTTTAAATTAGAAAAAAGACACTATACATCTACCATTATACACACCACCATTCTAACATCTTTTCCTCTGGTGTATTTTTATGACTTTTTTTTTTTTACAACTTTGTACACAATTCTAGGAAAACTTTGTATTTTTTCCTCCTCACTCAAGGTTCCTTCTGTGTTCCCGTGGGGTCTTCAGAACTTAGACTGTTTCCTTCAAGGACACCTCACAATTTACTGAACCACTGGCTCCTGCGCCGGCGCGTCAGTGGTTTCCCCACTCTCCCACCTGAGACCATGCAGCAGTTAACATCTTCACCCAACATTCTGTGACCTGGCTTGAGCCACTTCCTTAGGATAGATTCCCGGAAGTGGGATGACTGCTCATGACACAAACTTGCACTCATTCCACAGGCATCAACCCTCACTGACTTTGCATGAGGCCGTGTGGCTGGCCCTGCAGACAGGACCCCACCCTGTCTGCCCAGCTGGATGTGGCTCTCCAACAGGGCGTTTTTATCCGGTTCGAGCCATCTTTGCCAATTTCCCTGCTAAAGTCCTCTTGTTTGCTGAATAAGGTCTGACCCTGAGGAAGCTTACTATTAAAACCTAAACACAAGGAAGATTGCAGCTTTGTCAAGAAGAAGTAGGTACCCACGAGAGGAGGACACTTTTAGGTCTCATGGATCCTCTTACACATTCACACGGAAGATTGAGCTGAAGCAACTCCCAGAAAGCAGTGTATTTCTACAGAGGAGAACAGTAATGTTACTTGTCCAGGATCACAAATTTTATCAGTGGTAGAGCCAGAACTGAAACCTAGTTTTTTAAACTCCTGGGTTCAGAAAGTAGCTACCCAAGTCTCAACTTAAGAGGCAGAGCTCAAGAAAGATTCAGATCCTCCAGAGGTTAAGCAGAGACTTATCATATGACCTGGCAATTCCACTCCTAGGTATAAACCCAAAAGAAATCAAAGTGAAAGCTCACACAAAAACCTTGTTCATAGCACTACACTCACGTTTATTTTTCACAACAGTCCATGGACAAATGAGGGGATAAACAAAACGTGGTACAGACATATAAAGGAATGAAAGCCTTTTTTAAAAAAAAAAGCTTATTCAGCCCTGGGGCACCTGACTGGCTCAGTGGTAGAGTATGTGACTCATGATCTCGGGGTTGTGAGTTCAAGCCCCATGTGTGGCGTGGAGATTACTTAAAATTAAAAAAAAAAAAAAAAAGGCTTATTCAGCCTTAAAAAGGAATGAAATTTGGACACAGGCTACAACATGAATGAACCTTGAAGACATATGTCAAGTGAAATCAGTATGATTCCGCTAATATGAGGTGCCTAGAGTAGTCAGACTTATATGGACAGAAAGGAGAATGATGGTTGTCAGGGGCTGGGAGAGAATGGGAAGTTAGTATTTAATGGGGACAGAATTTCAGTTTGAAAAGATGAAAACGTTCTGGAGATGATGGTGGTGATGGTTGCACGACAGTGTGAATGGGCTTCATGCCACTGAATTGTTCCCTAGAAATGGCCAAAATGGTAACTTTTATGTCATGTATATTTTATCGCAATAAAAAGATAGATATTCAGAAACAGAAATGAATTCTAATAAAAGAAACCAAGCTGTACTGAGAAATAGAGAGCTTTAAGCATATTTATCAGGAAATAAGATTTTAAAAATGAGCTATGCATTTGCTATGGTCTGAAAGTTTGTGTCCCCCATATTCATGTGGAAATCCTAATGTCCGATGTGATGGTAACAGGAGGTGGGGCCTTTGGGAGGTGCTTAGGTCGTGAGGGTGGAGTCCTCATGACAGGGTTAGTGTCCTTACGAAAGAGGGCCCCCAGAGATCTCTTACCCCCTTCCACCATTTCACACTCATTAAACTGGCAAACAAACAAACAAATGGCTGGACAAGGCAGCAGTGCAGATGCAGAAACTCCAGGGGAGTAGAGCCAGGGGCAGCCCCTGCAGGAACGTCCTTGTCCTACTTAGTCACATTAGGTCATATGCATTCTCTGTCCTCAAGGTGACAGGGACAAGGCTATTCGGTGCAGTGTAGCCTGTGGTGACAAGGGGGGCGGCCAGCTGGATGTCCAGCATGTGGTAAATAACCACAATGTGGAGCAGTAAACACAACGACGTGGACATGGACAGAGTGGAGCGGGTGAAGGGGATGGTGTGTGTGAACTATATCGCTTACGTAAATTCACACACATGCACACAAAACGAGGCTGCCCATTTTAAGGTAACCCCACAACACAGGGATCTGTAATAACCCCATCAGAATGGTTTCCTGTGGGAGGGGAGGGAACGAGGATAGAAGAGAATAAACAAGAGAACAATGTTGTGTGGAACAATGGTGGCGCTGAGGAAAGAATGAAGAAGATGACTAACACAGCCATGTGTAAGTAAGAGCCGAAACAGTCCCCTCAAAAGAAAACCTCTGAGCCCAGGGGATTCTCCCTCAACGATGTCGTCCAACCAGGCTACCACCCAGACACAGGAATCCCTGGGAGTGAGGTCAGTACCCGAGTCTCCAGGATGTCGGTGGCCTTGGCCTGGCTGCTTCTGGCTGCCATGAGCTGCTGTCTGGTAGCCTCCAAATTCTGCTCAGCAACAGTTTTCTGTAAGTTGAAAGAAGAGTAAAAGAAAACAGTCATTTTTCCATTGAATAAATACTTATTAATGTCTACCACATACTGTGATTTGCATGAGGCACAGGGGACACAAGTGCATTAAAGATAACAGCTGAGATAAAATTCATATATCATGAAGTACACACAGATAAATCTGACACACTCCTTTGACCTTGAGGCTGAGGCAAAAGACTAACAAAAAAACAGAGTGCAATTAGTGCCCGCAAAGATGCCTAGAGCAGGCCACTCACTGCCTTAGGAAAACCGGGTGGCTTCCTAATACACAGGTGGCCAGGGGTGTGTGGGGGGGTACCCAGGCAGAGTAATGATCAGAGGAGTCGTGAAACAGCCTGGGACATTTGGAGAGCTATGACTTGCAAAAAGCTAAAGTAATAGTGGATTCAGGTCAACAAATAAGACTAGAGAGTCAGGCAAAGGGGCAGATCATGGGAAGCTTTTTATGCTGCCGAAAAGAGTTTGAATTTAATTCTGTAGGCGGTATTTTTTAAAGTGGGGTTGTCCACACACTGGTGTTAGACTAACTTGGTGAGGTCTTACACTGGGCCTACTGAAAACGGGATTTCTTGGGGCAGGAATATACACTCTAAACAAACTCCCCAAGTACCTCCTATGCACACTAAGCTTTATAATAATGATGATGGCACAATACTAAAGATCATAATATTAATAGCTGAAATATACAGAGACCCGACTATGTTTCAGAGTTTCATTCTAACACTTCACATATTATAACTCCTTGAATTCTAATAATTCTATTGTTTGGTACAATTATCCACCCTATTTCACGAGGAGAAAACAAACAGATTAAGTTACTTGCTCTAAGTCACCAAGTAGTAAGTAGAAGATGCGAGATACAAACCTAGGCAGTCTGATTCTAGAAATCAATTTACACCCCAGAAACCATGCTCTACACACTGTAGACTGCAAGGGAGCTGGGGAAGAAGGTTAAGGGAGCAAGGCGGCCAGGAATACCAGCTCGGCAGTGGGCGCGGAAGACCACCTCAGGGGTGAAAGAGGAGACTGCTGCTGGGTAGGCCGGTCTGGAGACCTCTGCTCTGGACTAGGCTCGAGTTGCTGGAAGCCCAGAAGTACAACAGGGGCAGTGGAGATGGAGGTGTTGAGTTGAAACGAAGACAGTGAGGATCTAATCTAGGCCCAAGGTCTTGGCTTTGTCACCTCTGTCACGGTGAGGTCAGTCACTGGGATACAAAGAGGGGGAGGAGCAGAATATGGGCAGACAATGGGCTCAGGCCTGATGAGAAAGCAAGTTCACCTACACCACTGGGGAAAAGGCCAGTCTGCACAACAGCCTCGCTCAGCGAAGGAGGTCCCCTCACTGCTGAAGGCTATTCCTGCTCACGCCACCGGCAGACAGTAACGATATTGCCTGGCCACTGGAAAGTGCAAAAGGGTGGAAGAGAGCAGGGCGGTAAGGTAAGACAGCCCGAGTGGCATAAATTACCAGTTGGGGTTCACTGGTGATTAGGACGCTGTTTGTTCATAGGCATCTCTGAACGAAGGTCTCCCTTTGCTGAGGAAAACATGGTACACACAGGTGACAGGTGGCTGTTTTTGCCATAAGCAGGACAATCTGAAGTTGGAGGGAGCGCTCTTCTCTCCCAGCTGCTTGTGGACCTTCTGGCTCTGCAGCTCTAGGACTGTATGAAATCTCCAGTGTTCCCACTCCTTCCCCAGCAGTGGCTGTCCAAAGAGAGCTAGTTACCTCTTTCAGCAGTTCCTGCACATGTTCTTCTCCTGATAAGTTCTGCTCTAGTTTCTTCTCCAAGGATGAGACCTTCTCCTGCAAATGGGTGATGAGTTTTTCCTTCTCTTGAGTCTCAGCAGTGGCCTGCAAGTGAAAGCAGAGATTACATTACACTATAACCCCTTTCTCCCTCCCACTTTGTCTCCTCTTGGACCATCACGTTTCCCTGAAATTCTGTTCTCAACTGCCTTTCAGAAGAACACACAGCTAAGAAATCTTCCTTGAAAAGGGACACAGAAGATGCCAGACCGGAACCCAGCACGACCCAGGCATCAGTTCAGACCTAGTGTACCAAGAGGCAATTGCTCATTCAACTTAAGCAACTGATGATGTGGGAAAGAACAAGGCTATGACCTCAGTGGAATGCAGCCAGGGCCCTGAGAAGATGCTCCTCTTCTTCAAGACAGTTGGTTTGTACTGTCATGATCTACTACCTTCTACTCTCACCAAGCACACATTTAATTCTATTAGTCCATCCAACAGGACCTACATCCTTAGCCCAGGTGCCAAACTTGGCAGAGGTAATCCCACTCAAGAAGGACCCCACAAGTGCTACAAATGACCAACAGAACGATGCTGCTGGAAATGTGGGGCTGGATGAAGCAGTAATGATGCCAACGTAGCTGATTTAAGGGCTAAGAGAGAACTTCTAAAACACAGGATCACATTCATCCCAGCTCCCAGCATAGCGACCAGGGCAGAGCCACTGTGCACCTCACACCCTGGCCCCAAACAAACAGCTATCTACTTGATCTCAGTCCATCTCTTTAGCAATGATGGCAGTGGTGGTGGAGGCAGCTTGGAACTTGGCTCCTCTCACTATTACCAATCTTCAAATGCTGCTTAATGTCAAAGCAGAGGATCCAGGAAGCTTTGATTACACAAGTTCTTAGATCCCCAGTGGTCCTTGCATACAATGAAGATGCCCATTCTCTCCAAAAAAAAGTTTGTATAGGGACACCTGGGTGACTCAGACGGTTAAGTGTCTGCCTTCAGCTTGGGTCATGATACCGGGGTCCTGGGATTAAGCCCCGCACTGGGCTCCCTGCTCAGTGGGGAGTCTGCCTGTCCCTCTTGTCCCTCTTCCTCTGCCCCTCCCCCAGCTTGTGATCTCTTGCTCTCTCAAAAAAAAAAAGTTCCTATAGCATCAACATCTTACTGTGAAGACCTGTACCTCCTCACAAGCACTCTACTTCCTTACTTCATGCTTCTTTTGATCTATCTCAAGCTACTTTCATGTTCAGCTTGGAGGCCAGCCAATCTCTCCTCAGAATAAAACGTAGCAACTTGGGTTTAGGATTTTAAGAGGAAGCACTTGCCATTCTAAATTTTCACAGGGGGCACCTGGGTGCCTCAGTCGGTTAAGCGTCTGCCTTCGGCTCAGGTCATGATCCCAGGGTCCTGGGATCGAGCCCCGCATCGGGCCCCTCAGTCCCCACCGTCCCTCACCCTCTGCCCCTCCCCCTGCTCATGTTCTCTCTCTCAAATAAAATCTTTAAACAAAAAATTCTTACAGGGGTTAGAGTATAGGTAGCAGAGGGTTCCAGAGATTGAACTCTCTAGATTCAAGTTTCCATAATTCAGTAAACTTTTATCAAGTCTATACTGTGTGTAGTCTTCTGAGGATACAACCACACATAGTTCCTGACCCACAGAAGCAAAGTGGCTGGTGGTAAAGACACATATACACACAATTAATTATAAAATAATAGTCATGCTGCAACAGAGGGACATACAAGGTGCTATATCAGAGTCAGGAGGGATTAACTGTTTAGGGAAATCAGATCAGGCCTCCTGACGAGGCAAGTCCAGGGAGAAGGGGGTTGGGGCAGAACGAGCCTGGGTACAGTGCAGCACATGCAAAGAGGTGAGGGCCAAGTTCAGCATGACTAGGAAACTGGGAGAAGAGGTAAAGACAACTCCCAAGTCTGTAACTCAGATGGCTGGTGAAATGGTAACATGATACAAACCAGAGAACACAGAGGGAGAGAGAGTTTGATAGGAAAGAAAAACAGTTTGGCCATGATGACCAATCATGGTGGGTCTCTCACTAATAATGCGATAATCATAATGGTAGCTAGAGTCAGCAGAGCATGAGGAAGCACTTCTTATGCTCCCTAGTCCTTCACTGTGTCCATTTAGAAAGAACCTGAAGCTTAGGAACTAGCCCAAAGGCACATACCAGTGATAAATTAAAGATGCAAGCTCAGGTCTTCTGGAGCCAAAGCCTGTACTCATTCTACTACACATCAATGTGAACTTGAGAGATACAGGTGACTTCACATTGAAAACCAAAATTTTGGTGTTAGGCAAAGTCAGGGACAGAAAAAGAATCAGTCACCAATTTCTATTTAGTCTTCTTGTATACCATATCCCACATGGAGCCCCCCTTTCCACTCTGGGTGCTTTACTTCTAGCCCCCAACACCTTATATGCTACAGCTAACATTATCCTTAATGGTGAAAAAGCTTTTCCACTAAGAGCAGATGCAAGGCAAGGATGTGCCCCCTCATCAATCCTTTCCAACACTGTATTAGAAATCCTTGCTAATGTAATAAGACAAGAAAAGGAAATACAAGTACATAGATTGAGAAGGAAAAAAAGGTTGGGAGCATCTGGCTGGCTCAGTTGGAGGAGCGTGTGACTCTTGATCTTGGGGTTGTGAGTTCAAGCCCCACACTGGGTGTAGAGATAACTTAAAAATAAAATCTTTAAAAAAAAATTGCACTTTTTCAACTTTTCTGGATAACGCCTAGTTCTTTCCCACAGTAGTTGGAGTAATTCACACCGTCCCATCAGCCACATATAAGAGCTTGCTTGGCTTGTTCTGCTTCCTTTGCCAACATGGTATATTATCAGACATTTATTTTTTACCAGTCTAATGAGTACGAAATATTATCTCAACATGATTTTAATTTGCTTTTTCCAGATTACTATGAAGTAACACTATCTTTTCATGTTTACTGGACATTATTGTTCTTCTGTGAAGTACTCATCCATCTCTTTTGCCCCTTTTTCTATTGCTCCTTGATTTTCTTTTTCTCCTTGATTATAGGAGTTCTTTATATATCTCCTGGCTGCCATGCTCCCTTGTCAGTTATATGGGTTACAAATGTCTTCTCCCAGTTTTTGCCTTGTCTTCACACCCTTTACGGTCTCTTCTGATGAAAATATGCTCTTATTTTTAGTACAGTTGAATTTATTATTTTCCTTTAAGTTCACACTTTTGCTTTTTTATTTTTATTTACTTTTTAAAAGAATGGTTCCCCTTTCAGTGGGACTTCCATTTTTTTTATTTGTTTTTTTTTAAATAATTTCTATACCCATCATGGGGTTTGAACTCTACAACCCCCAGATCAAGAGTCACATGTTCTACTGGCTGAGCCAGCCAGGTGCCCCCGCTTTTGCTTTTATAAAAGATCAGAAACACCCCAAAGTTGATGGTCAATAGGATGGATAAATTTTGGTAACTTCATACTATATAGTTGAGAAAAGAACAAATTACAGCTCCATGATCCATATGCATGATTTTTAGGAATACAATGTTGAGCACCAAAAGCAAGTTTTAGAAGAATACCTACAGCCCAACTTATATAATTTTTTTTTAAAAGATTTTATTTATTTATTTGACAGAGACAGAGACAGCGAGAGAGGGAACACAAGCAGGGGGAGTGGGAGGGGGAGAAGCAGGCTTCCTGCCGAGCAGGGAGCCCAATGCGGGGCTCGATCCCAGGACCCTGGGATCATGACCTGAGCCGAAGGCAGGCGCTTAACCAACTGAGCCACCCAGGCACCCCCCAACTTACATAATTTTTAACAAGCGTGAGAAACAACAGAAAATACGTACTGTTTAGGGATAAAATAACAGCAAAATTACAAAGCAAAAAAAAAAAAAAAGGAAATGGAACAGTTTCTAGATTCCCTACAAAAGAAAAAGAAATGGAATGAAACAGTGAATGGCACATGGGGAACCTCAAAGATAAACATATTATTCTTTTTAACCTGGCGCTTACCCACCTATGGGTTCACTGCCTTGTTATACTCTCTACCTAACTTATTAATAAATGTTACATCTATTCAATAATGATAAGGACAACAAAAAAAACTGACTCCAAACTCATGACCTTTGTGATAAAATTGTCCTTCTGCTGGTGCTCTTAGCCTAATGACTGACACTATCAGCCACTCAGTTGATTAATTCAGAAATCATCACCAAAACTTCCTTTTCTCTTGCTCCTCCTACATCCATTACATTAGCAAGTGGGTCAGTCTCCTATTTCATAAATCTGTCTACTAGCCCATTATCTTCACCACCACTCTTGTCAAAGCCACCATCTTATGCCTGGACAGGTACAAGAGCTTCCTAACCAGACACCCATTCAACGTTTCCTCCTCAACCAATCCATCCTTCTCTCACTCAGTGTATCCTCTCTTCCAGTTCCCTGAATGTGCTTTTCCTTCTACTGCCTCAAGGTTTCTGCATTTATAGTTCATACTGTTCCCTGTTCCTTGCTTAAAATTCTCTCCCACTGCCCCTCCCCCTCCACAGCTCAACTGTTACTTCCTCAAGGGAAGTGTTCTCTGACTCCAGGGCTAGATCTGATCTGCTGCCATTAAAGGATCCCACAACATCCTGTAGTTTTCCTTCACAGCACACATCACGGTTTGCAATTATATATTTATGTGATTACTGATTGATATGACTTCCCCTCTAGAATGGAAGTTCCACAAAGGCAAGGGCGGTATCTGTTTTTGCTCACCACAGTATTTCTAACACCTGGCACAGAGCACTGAGCCTGGCACACAGGAAGGCTCCGATCATATTTTTAGAATGAATGAAGGAACTTAGTATAACCAGTCTAGAAAATTACTTTTTCTCATTATGAAATGGTTCGATGGTTCTAATTGATATCAAAGGGTTCCTTGAATCCCAAAATTTTGTGTGTTATCTCCCCCACCCCTATGTATTCTGTGCCCTTCTGCTTTCTCTGCCTCCTGCTGTACTACCCATCTCTGAAATTCCAGTTTCTCCAGGAAGAGTTCCTTGACTCCCGTGCTGGAAATGCACACACTCCCTATGGCGTATATTTTCCATTACGAAATGTATTTCACTTGTTTGGGACTTGTTGAGAATTTGTTTTCTTATGGTCACAGGAGGTTTGAGTTCTATAATGAAACTGTAAGCCTCTGAGAAAACACTCTTGAATGTCTAGATCTTCAGTTCACTGAGGGTAGAGATCTTGTATCACAGTCATTCATGTATGTGAGATCTATTTACTGGGTGACCCTTGTTGGGAGGTAACACAGTCCTGTAGGACAAGCATGAGTTCTGGAGTAAGACTTGGGTTAGGGGGCGCCTGGGTGGCTCAGTCGTTAAGCGTCTGTCTTCAGCTCAGGTCATGATCCCAGGGTCCTGGGATCGAGCCCCGCATCGGGCTCCCTGCTTGGTGGGAAGCCTGCTTCTCCCTCTCCCACTCCCCCTGCTTGTGTTCCCTCTCTTGCTGTGTCTCTCTCTGTCAAATAAATAAATAAAATCTTAAAAAAAAAAAAAAAGACTTGGGTTAGAATCCAGCTTTGTCACTCACTGCTGAACTCTGAATGAGGTATGTAACTTCTCTTAGTTTCCATCTGGGCATCTGTAGATATGCTAAAACCTAGAGGGAAGGGGTATACAGACTTCTTTTCACACAAATCTTACTCTACTGTAATGATGCTGTTAAGTCTCTGCTATGCTTGAGATTAGCAGTTCTCAAGGGATGAGGGTAGAGTTGGTCATACCACCCGCCAGCGGGTGTTTTTTCATATGATGGGAAGGGCAGGACTGTCAATGCCTGAAGGATGCTACTGGAACTAAGAACCCAGGGTCCAGGAAAGCTAAAGTCCTGCAATGCGAGGGACAATTACACAACTGTTGTATTCAAAATGGTGAGAAGAAACATACCACCGAGAAACACTAGTCTACAGTCAGTAATATTTTTTATTCTTCTTTATAGTCTCAAAACTTAGCACAGGCCTATAATAGGAGGGCAATAAATGCATGTTGGCTAAATGAACGAATGAATTATAAAGATTATCATTTGGAACAAACCGGATTAGGCCACATCAACCATGACTATTACATTTTCTTATGCTCAAGGTCCACCATGTAGTACTTAGAGACAAATTTGTGCAGATCAAATGGTGTGTTTTGAGACTTCCTGCCAGGACAATACTGACCTCTTCTGTTCAGCGGTGTGGCCACTTCCATGAGAATGCAGCCTGGCTAGATCAGGAACTAGGGCCACACAGACTACATGAGAAACAGAAGTTTCAGCAGCCACCCTGAGACAGAACATTCTGATTTCTGGTTTCTACCCCATTGATGAATCCTAGCAACCTGGATCCACCCCTAGCACTCTACTCACCTTCTGCAAATCCACGGAAAGCTGCTGAATGAACGCTTGGAGCCCTTGTTCCTTTTGCTCCAGGGCTGAGACCTTATTTTCTGCACCTGTTTTTGAAGCTGTCACATGATCTCTTCATTGAAAGAAAGCAGACAACAAACACATTTGGAAATCTCATCTAAGAGACACTCTTCTACAGGAAAAATACATATGGTTCTTTATATGTCAGGGTTGCAAATGTCAGGCATGTGGACATTATCAGTGAAGAAGACTCCTTGGCTCTTTCTGAAGTAGAAGCCCAAAGAGAAAAATTCCACCCAGGTTTAAGCAAAAAATCGTGATCTGCACGATTGGTTACTCAACAGCTTAGAAACAAAAACATATCTGAATCACTTGGCAGGCTTGGAAGCTGAGCTTAGGCAAGTGAAGGGGAGGGAGGGTGTTGGGTGTAGAGGGTCTCGAGCCCTGGGCAGGTTAAGGATAGTCTAGAAACCTCTGCCAGAACTGAGATCAGAAAAGTGTTGCAAAGAGCAGTGGGGAAAGGCAGGCAAGCTATAGCCAGGGCTACACTAACACCGCTTCCCATGGGCCCCACAGACCAAGCAAGAACCTCTGCTCTTCCAGCGCTGAGCAGTGTCTCTGCAATTCTTCTAGCTTCTGGCTCAAGTCTGATGACATCTGACTGGAGGTCATCAACTCCTCCCGGGTGTGACTAAGTTCTCTGGTTCGTGCCTCCAACTCTTGCTCCATTTTCCCCAGACTTTCTTCTTTTTTTAAAAGCTGATACAAAGATAGAAAGTTTCACTGGGCCACTACTAAGAAATACTACTGAGACATATTTTTAAAAATATGGACCAACAAGCCAAACTTTCATAACAATTTTGTGAGCTTATAAGGGGCCCAGTAGTAGAAAAGGAAAAGGAAGCACATTCAAACAGAACTTTCCCGCTTTGAAAAGTTGAAAAACATACATATGTGATTAATATCAGAGACTACTAGGGTATGTTCATCAGCAGTTAGAGAATGATGACTAGTAAAATCAGAGTAATTAATGATCTATACAGCATGTAGCTATGAAAACAAAAATGCGTACCATGTGCTTTACTTTACTTAGTTCCTGTTGCTGGAACCCCTCTAATTCATCCATTTCATCCCTCCTTTGGAAAAGATTCAAACTCTGGTTCTTCATTTCCTGTAACTGAGCTGTCAGAAACCTTTTCTCCTATTTGGAGAAAGAAGACATCATCTCAGGCAATGAAGACACCACAAATCCATATTATGTAAGCAGAATGCTTTTTTAAAAAAATCTACACAAAGTTTTTATTTTTATTCAGAATTTTTTTTTTTTTTTTTTAAGATTTTATTTTTAAGTAATCTCTCCCTGCAACGTGGGGCTTGAACTCACGACCCTGGGATCAAGGGCTGCTCGCTCCACTGACTGAGCCAGCCAGGTGCCCCCAGCAGATTTCTTAATGAAGGAAAATCTGTAAAAAACTCTCTTGTCAGCAGACAATAATAAATGACAGGAAGCTTTACGGTGATATGACTAATACAGCATTATCTAACTCTCTTTAAGTTAAAAATAAGTGTGTTTTAAATGATACAGGTGTGAATAAGGGGAATAAGAGCAACAATTACTTGACACTTTAAAGTTCTTAAGTTTGATTAGAAATTGCAGATATTCATTTTACATGTCTATTCTCAGTGACATACTGAACTGGATGAACAACATGAATAACTGGAGTAAAACTGAATACCGTGAAAAAATTAGATGCATTTAAGTAGAACTGATGTCAGTTACCAATTTCAGCTAGGAAGTCAACAAAAATTAGTCATGACTGGTGTCAGCAGGTTACAATTTACTAAATGACAGCTTCCCAAGATAGATTCTCTTCGGGACAAACCCTGCTGCTACAGTTTCCAATTCCTGATTGAAAAGAAATCAAAACAGTCTAAAAATAACATTTCCAAAAATTACAGTGGCTTCAAAGACCTACATAGATGCCTCATTGCTCTTCTGGGTCTAAAATATTTCCCAGTACCTCTTTGGGAAGGGGAGTGGGGGCGGGGATCGCCTTAGTACACTGAAGTAGGTTCAGTCCTGTATGTATCCTTTACCATAAAAGATAAAAAATAGTTCAATGAGAATTTCAACTACTACAATCTTAAAAGTTTCTTTTAAGAAAAGAAAACTTTAACCTAACCAATACCTCCATATTAAAGAAGACCATCATTAACACCATGTCCAGATTTTTTAAGCACAAATTTCTCTGGGAGATAGCTTGACTTTCCTGTAATTCTTTCCTTACATATATATGTTCAAGCATTCTTTAATAAACTGATAATCAGATTTCTACAGAACACATACAGAGAACTGGTTTAACTTGGAGTTTTATCCCCAGAATGTAGCAACAATAAAACTCATCTGCTTAATAAAATGAACAGTATATATATGTATATTAGAAATGAGTTATTTTATTTCATTTTTATTTATTTTTTTAAGATTTTATTTATGTTTTGACAGAGGGAGATACAGTGAGAGAAGGAACACAAGCAGGGGGAGTGGGAGAGGGTGAAGCAGGCTTCCTGCTGAGCAGAAAGCCTGATGTGGGGCTCGATCCCAGGACCCTGGGATCATGACCTGAGCCGAAGGCAGACGCTTAATGGCTGAGCCACCCAGGCGCCCCTTATTTCATTTTTAAAAAGATTTTATTTATTTATTCATGAGAGACAGAGAGAGAAAGAGAGGCAGGGGGACCAATGTGGGACTCGATCCCAGGAACCTGAGCCGAAGGCAGACGCCTAACCGACTGAGCCACCCAGGCGCCCAAACAGTAAATATATTTTGCAACTGAATATATCAATCTAAGAAATAATTTTTCTACCATGAAGAGTAATTTACGAGTATTCAATGAAAACAAAAAATGAATTAGGTAGCAGCATATAATTTGGGCTGAGGGAGCTGACTTTTAAATTAAAATGTTTTTCTAACTATAGGCCTGAAATTTCATCTTCCTGTTCATGTCTGGGAGCCAGGAATACATTACATTAAGCACCTACACAGTGTTACACAAGCTATGGTGCTAGAGTAATCAATTTTCCTCGTCTGTGTTTAGCCAAGAAGTGCTCTTATCTGCTCAATGCTGAGCCTTGAAAAATGCCCTCCTTCCCCACTGCCTCCTCTAAAAGTATTCCTAACATTACCACAGTGCCAATTAGGGCCCCAGCAGGAAACAGATGGCAGTCTTTTTTGAGAAGAGTTTAATAAAGGGACTTTTCAAAGCTGTGGGTGGGTAAGAAAGCACAAAGCTAATGTGCTAGTAACAGCTGGGTGGGAATGGGCAAAGGGATGTAGAGAAACCCAGGAATATCCAACGAAAGCTGTGACCTTTGGCCATGGGATACAACTAACCTGAAGGGATCCCACATGGAGAAGGCTGGAGGAATAAATCCCGACCACACTCTTCTTCCACCCACAGTTCCTTTGGAATTCCCCACTGGCAGAACCCAGTTGGAAACCAGAGGGCAAAGAGCCCAGCTGATGCAGTGTCCATCAGCCCCCAGGGACACAGAGAAAGGTAACAGAGGGGTGGAGAGGATATTGGGAGGGGCAAACAAAAGATATCCAGCACGCCCCTCAAGAAAGGGGATTGCATGAGCTTTTCAAGTCAGTGTCGAATCAACCAGCACCCTACGTCTAAGAGGTGGTAGAGCGATCTGTACACTAGGTACCAGAAAAGCCATTTTCCAAGCCCTGAGGAGAGGCTGACATTCATACTGAGACAAAAATAAAAGATGAACTAACCTTTTCAAGCTGATCCATTTTTTCTGACCATTCCTAAAACAAAACAACAAAAAAGTACAGTTTCCAGGGAAGAGTATCAGAAACATAAGGTTTTCAGAAAACAAAACAACCTAACTCCCCCTGCAAAGCAAGCAACCAACCAAAACAGCAAATAAAAAACCCCATAAAGTTGGCTTAGTATTAAGAGAATCAAGAGTCCTAAAAGGAGAAGAAAATGAATTTTATAAAAAATTCTAGAACACAAATATAAACCTGCAGATTTTTACTAAGGAGAGCACCAACAAAACTGTAATGTGGTGTTCTGATGCAGCTTTTCACCTTATTCCTGAGTGTTTTTCCATGAATACTATTATTATCTCTTGGGAGTGGGTAGCTGGGACCAGCTGAGTTAGTAACTCTATAATTGATATTTAGAAATTAATTTAATGAAGGTTAAGAGGGACAGTCTTCATCAGCCCCTGATAATTATTTTCCTTCTTATCTTGAGTTTACCAATATGCTTTTTGCCATCTGGTATAGGTTAAAGGAAAAAGGATGATGCCCCTTATTCACAAATCACAGAACAGGAGGAAAAATAACCATCGGTACAAAAAGCCATATTCCAAGTGCCTACAATTTTAGGGCAATCTGAATCCACCAATTTTAGATGATATCTTCATTTATATACATTTATACCATAGTTATCCACTAAGTACTGGTGAGTAATGTCTTTTTCTGGCTAGCAAATGTCCTAATACTTTAAAATACTCACTTTACCCATCCACCCACCCACCTACTGTAGATGAATTATATATTTTCTTAAGTAAAACATAATAAATTGACCCTGTCTTACTTAATAAATCAAGATTATCACTATATCATCTTGATGGTTTTCTTAAATTTAAAATGCCATCGAACAAAATATACTTCATAATTATTGTAATAGCTAGTAATAGTACTATTTTCCTTTCTTATTCATTCAGCATCTGTCAAAGGATGGTTCTAGTGAGATTACAGGAGTTCCTTTCTGTCTGACTCACTGGGTTGAAGAGACACTAGGGAACAGAGATTGTAAGAACTATGTACATCGTAGAAGCTGGCTAGCTTGATAGGATTCTCCACTCTAAGAGGCAATCTAAGAGGTAAATGTTTGGGGCCTAGGCCCTGAGACAGGTTTTTAGAGGACAGAGACCACTTTCCTTCTCTTGGGATACGCCACCAGATTAGGACACATGATTTCCCTTCTCCCTGTTACAAAGTTTCACAGAATGACAGAATGATATTCTCATATTCTGGATGCATTTCATGATTACAACTGTAAATTATATAAGCATTCCTTTTCTCCTAGGCTGTAAATATTTTCTGCCAGGTTTATGTCATGATTTTTGAAATCACGTCACTAAGTGAAATCTTTCCACCAGTCTTGGGCGTCACATATAAAATACCTGGTCCTTTCTGGCTAATGCCAAAGCCAGTCCTTCTGCCATTTTGGCTCTGTTGGCTTGGAATGTCTCATTCTGCTCTTGAAATTTCCGCATGGAAGCTGTTAACAAAGAGGCTCTATTTGAGATATGGCAATATTTCAGAAACGGCATGACAAATAGCCCATGTGATTACTTTACAACTGTCACCTAACAAAAATGTTAGTGGATAATGAGACTGGGAAAAACCTGATCCGTCTCAACTCTCCCAGAATCTTTTGGGCTTAGTAACAGACCACAGTTGTTTTTTTGCTTTCTCTTGTTCTGTTTTGGTAACAAGCAAGTACATACATTTAGGAAGATGCCAAAAGGTAACTTTTTCAATGGTACAATGATAGAACACGAGTTAGGTAGGTTGCTAGAAGATGCTAATGCTGTTGCTAAGTGATGGTTACTACCACTTTATCAGAGTTAAAAATAAAAATCAAAACTAGGCAAAACAAAAAACATTTCTTTCACTTTGTTTTCCTTTAAATTTTTTTTTAGTTTATATTATATCAACAGAAAATAACTTTCTACTTCTTTAGCATCTTTCTTGGACTGAATCCAAACGAGAACATATGAGTTAGGATAGACTAAACAAAATGTATGTTCTATTGTTGGAGGAGTGATGACAGCTAAAGATTTCCCCCCATTCTGAATGCAGCAGCATGAAGCCACAGCTAGAACCAGGCTCCTAATCTAGGTCTAAGGGCCAGGCACATGATTTTACTAAAATCTAATGGCAGCCAATAAACTGGTCAACTGGATGAAGACAAGCTGATACACATACTGACATTCTCCTAAGAAGTATGCCCGTAACACAACATAAATAGGAATTGTATGCTTATAAATACCAGACAAATGTTTTATCACCCTGATTTAAGAAGTACACTTACAAAGATGTGAGCTATGATGAAGGACAAACTTAACCATACACTATTGTTTCATTAAAAAAAACTAAACCCTGAAAAGATTGAAAAAAAGCAGGAAAAAAAATACGTACAATCCTGGTGTTTTTCTAATGCAATTTCAAGCTTCTCTTTTATCTTCTGCAAGTTTCGGACCTGTTCAGCATAGTCTTGGGTGAGGAGGGTGACGCACATACCAGGAATGGACAAACATCAGGAAAGGAAGTTAATTAAACAAAAAAATGAGTGAAAATGATGATGATTTTCTCAACCCGAAAACCATTGCTGTTAAGGAGAGCTAGGCAGCCAGCCTCCCATTAACAATGAACAACACAGGCAAACAGGTATAGTACAAACCATCCACGGTGTAAATGGTGAATACAAACAGGCAGATTTGTTTAGCCTGGATAGAGAGCAAGAACTGGGCCTAGTCTGGTCATCAGAAATGCCCTGCTCGTTAATTTCAAACCTCAGTTTTCACTTCCCCTTCCAGTATTAGCAATAGGATAGGGCAAAGGGAATTCACTGAACAGCTCACAGTTCATACAACTGAGTTAACAGTGGTTGGGGCAATAGCAAACACCTTACCACAGGATGGTCTTTACCGTGAAAGTACTTAGTTCTCTAGAAAAGTCAGTTTCCTTTCTACGCAGGAACTGAGCTTCCTATGCCATATTAAAGGTGAAAGTCAGAATTAATTACCTAGGTGGCCAAAGAAGATAGTATGGTATAGGGGAAGAGTAGGTAGGCTTGGGCCAAATCCCAGTTCTGTCAGTCTGTAGCTGAGAGACCGACCATAAGCAAATTATTGATCCTGGGTGTTAGTTTCTTTTACTTAGCAAATGATGGTATTAATCGTAATGGCCTCAAATGCACTTAGTAAACTAAGTGTTTTATGTGTCCTAATTAAATAACAAACTAGGTGTTTTCTATGCCAGAAGCACCTGACACACTTCAGTAAGATGTTCAGTAAGAGGTAGCTGCTGCTGTTGTTCATACGGAACCTGGAGGAAGATACCCGGGACATAACCGGGCTTTCTAAGTGTCTGTTCTCTGCCCTGTCCCTTCTCTAATTTCAGTCAAGCCAAAACGATTTTTCTGTCTGTATTAGGGAAGGCACGTAGTATTTCACAGCTTTCTCCCCAACATTAAAAAAATGTAAAGTTATTTCACCTCTGTTCCTGATATTATTTACAAGTAGGTATAACAGGATTGTAACAATTGAATTTAAAGAAGACTGTAGTTAAGAGTATGGACTCTAGCAAGCAAATCTGGGTTTGGACCCCAGCTCCACCACCTACTCCTTGTGTGACCTTAACCTCGCTAAGCCTAGTAAGGCTATAGTGAGGACAAAAGGAGATAATGGACCAACTGGGAGCTGGGAGCTATACTACGGACCTTTGATAACCTCATAGACACAAATATTTCGCATATAATTTGGTGACTTTTGTAGTCTACTGCTTTCATTTCAATAAAATGTGCATAAGGCCAAGGGACAAAAAGAAACACAGAAGCCACTGACCACTTCACAGGATGAAACTTTCAAAATGTATCCACTGGCAGAAACCAAAATAAGAACTCACAACTCTATCACAAACAGGCCCTGTTCAGGCAAAGGATATAATGGAAGTTGTGTAAATTGTAAACTACACACAAAAGACAGAGTTACAGCTTCTATACAGGTGCTGAATATCACTGGAAAGCAGTCTAAAGACCCAGAAGGACACTTAACACAGGTGATATGTAGCAAGTGGTAATGTAGCACCAAACTCTCTCTGGTGCTCGAGAGTCTGTCTGTTGGCCATTCCCTGTAAATACTATCCCCTACCCTTCTCCACCTGAAAGCTATGCTAACAGGTGAAAGATCGTCAAATCTAGTCTACGTATATTTTTCATACCTTTTATATCCATGGCTAGAAACCTCAGGAGCAGAAAAACCTAGGTTTTTTTTTTTAACTTTAAAACTCAGTTTTGAATTTACACTATTCAATATACTAACAAAAGGAGGGAACAAAAAGGGTACAAATTGCTCCATTTTGACTAAGAAATATGTCAATATATGTCAATATAACTATAACGTTATCCTATATGGCTATTTGATATAGACAGAGGGTCAGCCAAGGCAAGTTTTCTTTGCTTGCTTTTTATGAATTCTTAGACATACCAGAAAGTCTGACTTCTAATTTCCGTATCTGTTCATTCCTTCTCAAAAGCTGGGATGAAAGATCTTCTCTGGAGCTGCTTCCATCGGAAGCCTGTTGAAATACAGACAAGAAGACGTCACATTTATACATGGGTTTTCAGCAGTGTGAGACCCCAGTACTGAACCAGAAAACAACAACTCTTGTTTCAGGTTTCATTATACTTTAATTGTGATCACTGAAGAGCTTCTTAACATACCTGGGTCCTAGCTTCTCTACCTATAAAGTAGAAGCAACACTATCCCCTTCCACAATGTGGAGGAGGTAGGAGATGCTAAACAGACAAACTGTGTGTGTGTGTGTGTACACGGTATTAGAATAAGTGGTGGTGAACAAATCCATTATGACCATATCACACCAAGTACATAATACAGAGAATGTATTTTCAGTGATAAAAAAGAAAATCACTTTATTTTTCCAAAGGTAAAGTCCTGGCAGAAAGAAGGGGAAGGTTCTTAAACAAGGGGTCAAAGGCTGGAGAAGAACTGATCACTGAATTGACTGACAAAGTTTCAGTACCTTCATCTAAAATGCATCAAAGACTTAAGCAGATAATATGGATTCAATAATCAATATATTAATGAGACATCAATTTTCCCCAACAATCTATTTTATTTTAAAAAATTTTTAAAAAGATTTTCTTTGAGAGAGAGTGAGAGTGAGAGAGCAGGGGGAGTGGGAGAGGGAGAAGCAGACTTCCCGCTGAGCAGAGAGCCCGATGCGGGCCTCAATCCCAGGACCCTGAGATCATGACCTGAGCTGAAGGCAGATGCTTAACTGATTGAGCCACCCAGGTGTACCAACAATCTATTTTAAAATGTTTGGATATTACTATTACTTTGGGCACTGCTTACTATTTCTAATAAGTAACTTACTTTATCTTTTTTCTTTGGATTATAAAATTTTTAAAAATACAGAACAGTAGGGAGAATGGTTTAATGAACGTTCTCCAACTACTTTAATAAATGCTGATGTTTTCTCCTATTTGCTTTATTTTACTGAAGTACTATAAATAACAGACATCATGACATTTTGCCATAAATACTTGGATAAACATTTCCAAAATATAAGGTCATTTTCCTCTTTAGCCACAATACTGTTACCACACCTAACAAAATTTTATCTAGTATCTAGTCTTTAGTCATGTTTCCCCATCTTAGACCCAAAATATCTTCAAAGGTGGTTGAAAAATTCACTTTAAATATTCATTTACGCATCTAGACACTTGCCCAGTCAAACACTTATTGAGACTTGGTAAAGTTTATAGTTAGGAGGCAGTCTCTGGAGGTGGAAGACCTGGGTTGAAGACCCATCCTCACCACTTATAAAATGAGAACTTGGGCCAAGTAGTCACCTTCTCTGTGCATTGATTTCTTATGTAAACTATGACAACAAACATGATCAATTTCACAGAGCAGTGATGAGAATTAAATAAATCAACACTTGTCAAGTCCCTGAAACAGAGACCGGCACATAATTAGTTGTCACACATATCATCTATCATTAGTAGACGTTAGGATTATTACTGCTAGGGAGACACCCTCGTCTCAGCTGTGCTAAGCACTGGGAACAGGGGTGAAACAAAGAGTCCCCACCTAAAACAGCAGCAGAAGCAGCTACCATTATGAAATGCCTGTTAAGAGCCAGGCACTATGTGAAATGTTTTTTTCACCAGGCAGAAGAGGTAACATCGCAGGCCTGCAACCAAAATCCTTAGCAAGGTCTGCTTGTAAAGCCCGCCCCGGGATGGCCTACAGGAACTTAGACTTTGAGAGGGTCCCCACCATTCCTGATAAGAACAGTTCACTGTATCTAATCTATTTGTGTACAAAAATATGGTTTATGCTGAACACCTGTTTTCCTTCTGGGAGTCTGGAATTTTGGTAAATGCTCGGCAGAGGGTGCCTATGTGAAGAGCCTCCAATAAAATCCCTGGGCAGCGAGTCTCTAAGGAGATTCCCTGGAAGACAACATTTTAGGTATGTTGTCACGACTCATTGCTGGGGGAATTAAGTATGTCCTATGTAACTCCACGGGGAGAGGACTTTTAGAAGCTTGCACCTGGTTTTCTCCAGGCTTTGCCTCATGCGCCTTTTCCTTTTGCTGATTATGCTTTGTATTCTTTCATAGCAGTGAGTAAAACCATGCTGAGTTCTGTGAGTCCTCTTAAATAATTGAATCTCAGGGTGAACCTTGGGGACCCCTGACACACATACTTTAATAAAGACAAGTACAGTTCCTATTTTACAGATGTGGAAACGAAGGCGTAGAAAAGAAACTTGCCCCAAGTCACGTAATAACGATGAAGCTGGGAATCCAATCCAGGTCTGACTCCTTAACCTGGCCTGAGTTCCTAACTACTACTTTCTACTGCTTTTCATAAGCCTCCCAGTTTAGTGAGAGATAAACAAGCAAACTACCAATAATGCAGTGTAACAGGTACTGTTACAGAGGCCGTTAGGAGATAAGGGACCAAACTCGGCCAGGAGGGTTAAGTGGTAGAGGGGGTGACAAGGGCAGTTGGGGTCAAGAGGGCTTCTTGAAAGTAACATGTAAGTGGAGTCTTTTTTTTTTTTTAATTTTTTAAAAATATTTTATTTATTTATTTGACAGAGAGAGACGCAGTGAGAGAGGGAACACAAGCAGGGGGAGTGGGAGAAGCAGGCTTCCCACGGAGCAGGGAGCCTGATGTGGGGCTCGATTCCAGGACCCTGGGATCATGACCTGAGCCGAAGGCAGTCACTTAATGACTGAGCCACCCAGGCGCCCCGTAAGTGGCGTCTTGCAGGAAGCACAAAGTCTGTCAGAGGAACTCAGGAGCAAAAGGAAGAGATGAGACATTTCAGAGAGAGGAGACAGCAAGTGCAAAAATCTGTGGGCATGAAGGAATGTTGCCCATTCTAGAAATGCAATAGGCTCAACGTGGATGGAGCACAGGGTCTAGGAAAGTAGAGGGAGATGAGGCTGGACAGGTAAGCTGTGCCAAGACCTATGTATGAGTTTGCACTTCATCTTGAAGGTGATGGGGAAACCACTTTCGTTTTAAGCATTGAAGAGACATGTCTCCTTAGAGACTAGAGACTCGGTGCCCAGGGATTTAAAACCACCGAGGAATTTTAAGCATTGAAGAGACATGAACACATCTGCTCTGGGGAGTTACTGGAGGCAAGGAGTCCAGACAGGCTACCACATTTGTCCAGAAAAGAAAGACAGCTTGAAATAAAATGGAAGCAAATGCACTAATAGCAGGGAGTAAAGGGAGCAAGGCTGAGGCATTCAGAAGATGGAAAACCAAAATACTTGTTAACTGGACATCAAGAAATGGAGGGAAGAATCTAAAATGCTTCTAAAATTTCTTGCTGGTTACTTGGGAGATGGAGGTACATATTTGGAGATGGGAGTTAATGCATTCAGTTTTGTTCATTTTAGAATTTGAGACACTAGAGGAAAAGCATCTGATAGGAGAAATATATGCTGTGGGATATACAGGTGTGGAGACGGAGTGACGATCAGAACGTATAAAGAGTAAGTTCAAGTAGACTACTTTAGAAGTCCCAAAGGAAAATACTTCCTGAATTCAGGCCAGTATCTCTATCTGGAATACCTTCAAGATGAGAGACTTCATTTAGCATGTCATCATAAAGGCAAAGCAGGTACTTCTGCCACAGAACTCAGCACCGAAACTATATCCTTCAGCCGGGGGATCAAATGTGCACTATATTTCCTGTTAAATACAGCAGCCAATGATTTAGATCAGGTAATCTTATTGTTCCATCCCAAAAACCTAATAGCTTCTGCCATGTAATCTGACCCAGGACAGGTAGTATAAGAAAGGAGGAAGACGACTCATCTGACCCTGTAAACAACTCAACTGTCTATCATGAGGAAAAGGCAGAGATAAATTGTGACCTTGTCAAATGCTGGAATCTTATACAGCAGTAAAAACAAATGAATCACAGCTTCATGGAAGGCAGATGCATTCTAGAAACGTGGCGAATTAAAAAAAAAAGTAAGTTCAAGAAAACTATGGAGGGGCGCCTGGGTGGCTCAGTTGGTTAAGCATCTGCCTTCAGCTCGGGTCGTGATCCCAGGGTCCTGGGATCGAGTCCCACATCGGGCTCCTTGCTCGGCGGGGAGCCTGCTTCTCCCTGTGCCTACTGAGAGTGCGCCCTCTCTATCTTTCTGACAAATAAAAAAAAAAAACCCAAAAGACTATAGAATACCATTTTTATAAAGTTCACAAATAAGCAATACTAAACAACAAATTATTTATAAATATATACATATCTGGGAGGATATTTTAAAAATCAAGAGAAATGATAAATGTAAAATTTAGGATGGGGTTATCTGGAGGGCAGGGAGGAAGAAAGTGAACTGGGCAGGAGCATACAAGTGGCTTCAACAGTATCGATAATGTTCTAGTTCTTTGGATAGGTGACACATTAACAAGCATTCATTTTATTTTTATGCTTTATACTTTACACTTACATACATTCTTTTATATATATCAAGCACTATAAATTATTTTTTTAAAAATCTGACTTTGAGAGGATCCTGTCATATGTCAGAGACATACTTTTAATCCTAAGGCATGACATCTACCTAACACACAGCATCTTCATTTTTCTGAAATCTTTCCAAACACAAAGGTCCTTTACAAATAAGGGACATACTGCAGTCAGGGGTGTCATCTTTTCATCAACTTTCCCAGTAAAATGGTGTACTCTAACTCCACACCGTAACTCACAGACCATGTTAGGCAACAATGACTTAAAGTATATTTGTCTGCAGAAATAATAGGCCAAGGCTTTTTGAGAAATGAAATATAAAAGAAGATGCACAAGGTATAAAAAGTACAAGAGGACAATGTAGAGACTATGAAAAGGGACTCTGAAAAAATAGGAAAAAAAAAACAGAAAAGCACCTCAGAGTAGGAAGAATCAGATATGAACTCCATATAATCTCTCAAATTTAAAAGAAAATATTTATGGAAAAGACTTTCTGAAATACTATTTTAAAAATAGATCAAGACTGTACCAAATATTAAAAACTAGAGAAGATACTTACAAAGTCATCTCCTGAGTCAGCTCCCATAGAGGCAACCGATTCCTTGCTCACCGACCGTGGGATCCTAGTAGCACCTCCTGGCCTCTGGGCCACGGCAGTCTCTTCTGCAATTTTCTTCTTTAGTTTTGCAAACATTTTTGCTGTGTGGTTATCCTGCACAGATGACCAGCTCGTGAACCACCCCAGCAGTCTAGTCCTTAGGCTAGCAACCAGGACTTCAGAGACTGGTGCCTAAAAAGTTCCAGACATCCAAGATAGCTGCATTCCCACTTAGATGTGGGCCAAGGGCTTATGGGACAGTATCTACAAATCAGACAAAAGAGAGCTAAGTTAAACATAGGAGAGATTTCACCACTGAGTTGCTATGTTAAGCTTCAGGTTTCAAAATTAAGTTTCATAATTTTACATGTACATTTAATAGAACACAATTGCCAAACATTTAAAAAGCACTCAGGTGCTTCACATGCATAAACAGATAAGGAAATCCAGTCTCGAGATGAGGTAATCTGCCAAAGAGTGTGTGCTTAAGTGGCAGGGCTGGTATTTGAACCCAGGACTCTGACTCACAAGTTCTTACTCTTTCTTTATTATGCCACGTTGGCTATGGCATATAACACATATAGTAAAATTTCCCAGGGTACACATTAACATCACATAATGGCTTGGAATCCTTCCTCCAATATTAACTACAGTTTACTTTTTTTTTAAGATGAAGACAAAAATATGTAACTCAATATGGGGATAAAGGTATAACCTTCTAATGTTCTAGGATGGTTTGCCAACAGCTGTTGACTAGAAAAAGCTGACAACCTAGAAAAAACAGGCAAGCCAGACAACTATCCTACATAAGCATCAGATACCCTTAAACACTTCTTAGAAATACTGTATGCTTCTCTTTAAGGGTGATTAAAATGACCTGAACTTAGTTTCATCTTCAGAATGTTTTACATGATATTCAACATGAGATTCAAACGTCTTTTCCTCCCAGTGTTATATGAAACACCAATATTCTGGTTCCAACCTTAACTTTCCATGTTCTGTGGAGGACACCTAAATTCTGCTCTAAGATCTACAAATGACTTCTTACCACTTCAGATTATCCATTTAAGTCTGTACAATTCTTCAATGTCTGTAAACCACCTACTCACCTGGCTTATCTACCAGATTTAAAACAGCCTGGAGGTCAAAGCATTCTGTCCTGCATGAAAACAAAGATAAAATGCATTGGGTATTTCCTTTCAAGTGTAAGGCCAAAATACTGGGGGGAAATGAAAGAGGAGACAGGGAGGATTAACCAGAAGACAGAGGGGAGAATCTATCACTGCCACAATCCTCAGGGGTTACCTTCTCATTTGCATTTGTGATCTGCCCAAGAGCTTCACTAACAGGCACAAAGAACAGAATCTCTCATTGGTGCCTAAATTTACTTCACCTTGGGAGCCCCGAGCAAAAACAACTTGAATGAGATTACGGTTTCCCAGGGCCAGTATTTATTTCTCAGTTGATTCTGACAGTCACACATTGTTTGTTTACCTGGCCAGACCCGGGCTGTCTAGTCACAGAGCCGTGACTCGCACTAAGAACGTCGCTGAGAAAAAGAATGGCTAAATTGGGTAAAAAAACAACTGCCTAACGCCCAGGGATAGGCAGGTACCTGCCACGGCAGTCTGGATCCCACTCACTCAGGCTCCTTCTAGAACCGCCCGCGTTTGGACTGTCAAAGAAGGGAACGACTCAACGTCTCTCCCATCTGACAGCAAGGAAACTGAGACCCAGAGAGGAGCAGTGACTTGTCCAGTGTCGCTCGGGGGGGTAAAATCCTGACACCCTAGGCTCCAGACTCCCCGGCCGGGCAGCTCCTCTGCCCCCACCCCCGCCCTTTCAGCACCCCGGTACCGCCCCCCGCCTTGGGTCTGGGGCAGAACGAGGCCACCGGGAGAAAGAGGGGCCTTCTGGCATCTCCGGCCCCCGCCTGCGCACCTGCCGCTCTCTGGGCAGCGGGCAGAGCCCCGCCTCCGGGACCTCTCGTGAACGCCGGCCCGCGTCACCAGCCCCCACAGCCGGCCGGCGAGCAGAGCAGCGACCCGGAACCGCACCTCCACTAGCGCGCCGGAAGTGGCTGAGCGCGGGGCGGGCCTGCCACGCGCATGCGCCCGCACGCGGTCTCCGCGGTCGACGGCGAGATCTTCGGGACTGCGGTTGGGCTGGGGCCGCTGGAGGGCGCGGGCGCGAGGCTGGGCGCTCCCTAAGGCCGGCCCGCCACGTCACCCAGCGGCCCGACCCGTGGATGGTGACTGGGTGGCCAAAGCCTTTATTGTTGTTCTTTTTTTTTTTCTTAAAGGGGGCGGTGCGGAGCGGGGGAGTGGGAGGAGCCTTGTGGCAGAAGGGAAAAACACCCAATTGGTGCCGTGGGGCCAGCGTGCGCTGTGCGGTTTTGAATCCTAAGGCCACTGCTGCGCGGAACAGGGAGGGAGTTTCCATTCCGCTCCCCGCATCCCAATCCCACTGCGCCCTGCACAGCCGCCCTGTAGTAGGTGATCACTGCGAGTCCGTGCCTCCCTCCTCACACAGAAGCCTGTGGCTTCAAGAAACTAGAACTAGGTCTTGGAGCTTTGTGACTAGTTTTTAACTTTGGTGCCTATGACCTACTGCAGGTTATACGTTTTATATCGCAACCCAGGACACACATAATGTACCATTGAAAAAAGTTTCCAGAACCATACCCTTATATAATGCACTCCGATATATTGCATTTCATTAATAAGCTGATGGCAGCCCACTACATTCATTATCTACTAATGGTCCTCCAACTTTTTTTTTAAAGATTTTATTTACGTACTTGAGAGAGCGAGAATGAGAGAGAGAGAGAGCGCACATGAGAGGGGGGAGGGTCAGAGGGAGAAGCAGACTCCCCGCTAAGCAGGGAGCCTGATGCGGGACCCGATCCCGGGACTCCAGGATCATGACCTGAGCCGAAGGCAGTCGCTTAACCAACTGAGCCACCCAGGCGCCCGGTCCTCCAACTTTTGACAGTTGAACAAACTCGAGAGAGGTAAAACTTCCTCGTTCAAAGGTACACTGCAAATTAGCCTGCGTAGGGTCTCTGGACTCAATGCTAACCAAGTCAGACATTCAACATTGAAGTCGCTCTTGTTCTTGCCCAGGACCCCAAAACAGCCCGAGGGTCAGCAGCTTCCACCACTCCCCCCCCCCCCCGCCAAACAATCCTCCCTCCGCGTGTGACAGTTTTGACCACTTGGAGCAGGGCAGGGAAAAAACCAAGACTAGGACGCAGAAGAAATTTACCAACTAGAAGAATAACCATCGAAGCTACGACCCCAAGACAGTCTGAAGTGTCTGAGATATTATCTGAAAGAAGCAAACCCTAACAGTTTAAGCACTTATGTTGTCAACAATTCTGAAGAAGTACCAAAAACTTTAAGCAAATAATGTTTATTTTTATATTGATGATACACTTAATATACACGTGGATTCAAGATACAAAATTCATTTACAAGAGTTCACACCTGATGAATGTAGTCACATTCCTAGAGAACATTTATCATTGCAAAAATGTTTTCAATACACTGACAACAAAAATCAGATTTTCTGTAATCTTGTTATTAAAAAAACATCAAAACAACAATGTTTAACTTTCCATCCTCTACCATTTAAGTGCCCTTAAGGTGGTAGGCACCATAACAGAAGAAAACATTGGAAAGAAGGGCCTACTGAATCCACTCTGTGGAATCACAGTGTTTACTCTGGAATTCATTTAGTGAAGTAGTTAGTGAAAGGCTTGCTATCCTTTATAACAAATCACATATCATACAAGAGTCAAAAGTGATGAACTCAAGAAAATAAAATGTTTCAATAACTTCTCAGTTTCTAAAATCTATGAAGTATTAAGCATAACAGACAAAGCAGAAAAAGGCTACTGAAAAGGAACACAACAGGAAAACATCCTTAAGAGTATGTATGGCTTAAGCAATTCAGAAACACAACAAATAAGACTTTCACAATACCACAGATGTTCAAGTCAAATGATATTGACAATATAATTTCCCCCCTTAGTCATTGGTAGTAAATAGCCCCTTCAAAATTTATTCTACTGATAACACATATAAAACTAGTGAATCTAAATGGTTTGCTGTCTCACAGAGCTGAGTTGACAGATTTTGATCTAAAATATTAACCCACAATACCCAAAATTTAGTACAAATGAGCAACAAGACAAAGTCTCAAGGATTACAGTGATTTGTGAATAGCTAGATAGGCAACCAAATAGCTTCATTATTTGCACACAGATTAGCAGCACTTGGATAAGAACTGTTACATGAAAATTATTGTGCTTCAATCTCTTGAGGAGAGCTAATAAATATAACTCTATAATCCCTATAATGTTACAACTCTATAACATTCAGTTACAGACGAGCAAATTTTTAAAAAGTATTTCACACCACTACAAAATCAAGTAATTGTATTCTCCAAATGTAATTTCTGCTATGATTGAAACAAGTGCATTTATGCCTAATATCCATAATATAGACAATAGGTTCACCATTATTTTCAGGGAAAAAGATCAAACATAACTTATTTTTAACTCCTATGTGATTAGCTTAACCTTTAGTGATGATTTGAATAAAGAAAAAGGATATTTAACCCTACAATGGAAACTGCCCAGAGAATATAATAATGTGGCCTGAAATGACAATAATCTTTAGAGCAAAGTAAGAAATGACTTATAACTGCTTCATCTGACTCAATGATTAATGAAACCACTATTTGTACTGGTACTACACAATGAAGATAACCTATTTGGATAATTTCCTTCACTTGTAAGCTCTACTGTGAAAATGTTAGGACATTGTATCTGCTTTTCCTATTATCTAAGTCCTGTCTACCTCAACTGGAAGAAGTCTCCTTGATTGTTGAACAGCAAGGTTTATTAAAAACAAACAAAAAATCATTGGAGAAATAGCCATATGGTCTATGTGGCAAAAGGAATGTATCCAGATAATTATAAAAAGCTACAAACATGCCCTAAAATATTTTACCGAACCATTAAAAGTTATTTTTAATAAGATAACCAAGAGCTACAAAAAAACAAACCTCATTCTTCAAGAAATAATAAAAATTCTTATTGCCCTAAAATATTCCAAGCAATTTTTTTCCTGTAGATTTTTAATATTTCACAACATATAATTTAGGAAAAAATAATATGCAATGGAGGGTAAGAATAAAATTTTAAAAAATGCAGTGGTTATTTTTCTATGGTTTGGAAGTATTTACTTTGGGATTATCATATATTATCATTTCACAATTTATAATGGTTGGTCATACTGATTTGATGTTTGAGAAAACTTATGGGTCAAATTTTAATGTGCACAAATCTTAATTTTCATCACAGACAAGAGGATATTCACAATAGTTTCAAAAGGGAAAATAATACTAGTGATATAAAAATTTAAATACTGTTTACTGCAGACCTATAGGAAAGCTAGCTATAATTCCCTATCTCATTCTGAACATGATAGAATCACTCACTCTATTTCATTCCATAAGCCTATCAGAAGAGTAAAACTCTGAACCCTGAAATTACCAATGTCTCAAACAATACTACACCTAAAAAGATGATTGTCTTAGGATATAGACTGGAAATGTTCACCAAAACAGGAAAATATTCCTAATAAGTAGTATGTTGTATGACCAAATTCAGGCTTAAGTGAATCTGGAGTGCAGAATTAACAAAATGTACTTCTATTAAAAAACTGAATCTACTGTTCAAATAATGTTTTTTAAAAATCGCACTGCTTAGAGTAGTTTGATAAGTAATAACTTTTAAAGAAAACACAAAAGAAATTAACAAAAATATTTTAAAATTAAGAAATGGTGCTTCAGGGATTAACAGTATTATACAGAAATGGAATTCTCAAAAGTTACACCAAACTAGTAAGTGAAAAATACCAAATTTAGCTTAAGAAAACATTTCATATTTACAGACTTCCAAAGGAAATATTTCTAGGGCACCAACAAGTCAGTTACACTTAATTTAATACATTTATCTCTACCCAATTTAAGGGTATGTCCCCCTACATTATCCTGACACCCTTCCTTTCAATAGGTGATTGATTCCATTCACACATCAATTATTTTTCCTTAAACACAAGGCATGCTTAATAAGTCTGTTCAAAAACTCAGTTAAGCTGGAACACAGTGTAATACCATGTTCTGAAATTTTAGTTTGAGTTAGATGAATTGCCTTTTTTTTTTTAAGGTAAAGTGGTCACAGTATCCAGGAGAAACTGGGAAGTGCAGCATGAATAGAAATAAAGTATCAAAGTCTTAAGAGTACAGAATGGGGGAAAGGTTTGGTTTTCTAAGCAATTCTTACCTTATTTAACTGCAAAGTAACTGGCTTTACAACTGTTAGAAACATAGGTCATATTCACAATGTCAGTCTCATCTACTGCACTTCTTACTGCTGCTCCTTTCCTCAAATTAACGTCCATACTGAGCCTGAGTCAGTTCTATGAATTTTAAATAGCATAACATCTGCTCTGCTACTCTCCAATTGCAATGAATGATTTGGTTACTAGAACAACAGAATATCAGACACTATGGACATTTTCACTGATTTTCCAGAAATAATACATTACCAAATTTTAATATTTATTTACGAAAAAGGCGATTACAACTTTATTTTAAATTTAATACTGTAACTGAGAGGTGTTGTGAATAGTTGGCTTCTAATTAAAAATACAATGAAGAGGCAAATGTAACATTTGTTGGGTGGTAAAACCGACTTCTGACTCTAACTCCTCTTTTTAAGATAATTTACTATTGTATTACACAGATGTAATCGTCTGAAAAATAATGGGGTAAACAGTTGTTTTGCAGTTATATTTTATCATGCAAAAATAACCTCTACTTAATTTTTGCGGTGAATGTGTTCAAGGCTATACTAAACATCTCCTACACTCTTCCGTGCAAATACACAGGCCACGTGAAAACAGGAGTAACGAACACTGATATTCTGTGATATTCCATGTTCACACATTGACACTGCACATATTCACTACCCTCTAAGAGGATATCCTCCCCCACCCATCATCCTTGGTAGAGGTTTGGAGGCCCAGATTTGATAGCACGCCATGCACCTAATATTAAGAATTCTATTTCATGTGTGACTATATCATCAATTTGCAGAACACAAGTGGTCTCATAGAGACAAAGAAATACAACTGGAGGCATTTTATTCACTAGAAGCATTTTCTCAGATGAGCCTACTCATCTTTGATATGCAACTCCAATAAGAAAAATCTATAGTCTGAAATGCCAAGACAGGACTAAATTAATCACAGCTGCTGCAAATATACAGACTAATAATCTCCTGCTCCTTATTAAATCCCACCCCACCTAGGTACAGCCTTCCCCTACTTAATGCCCCTTTCTCTGCCTCACAGAGACAGATATAAAATGAGACACATTGGTGAAAACACTGTTCCAAAATTAAAATTTAGTATCAGGTATTGACATGGCAACTACAAACAGAATTTCTCTATTTAAAGGACATTTTCCTATCTATTTTGAAATGAGATCAAAGTAATTTTTTCCACAGCCCCTTAATTCTCAATATAAATACTACTCAATAATAATACTCAATTATGGGTCAAGAAAAATAAAGGACTGAAATAGCTTAAGAACCTGCTGGTGTCTCAGTTTCACACACTAAGGTTTTTCAGGTTTATATCACTAATTTATCATCCATTTAAATGGAAATTGACAGATGATTTTAAAGCCAAGACTATCCTGCTTTCTGTTAATATCTTCATATCCTAATTCCAACTCCAAATTAGCCAATTTTACCCAAACACAAGCCCCTCAAAAATAGAGGCTCATGAATGAGACACAGCCACAACCTAATTACAGCAGCATGAACAATGCCACTATGATGTCCTCACAGAACTTAAATAAATTCAGCCCACAGTGGGTATGGGTATATAATATACACATACTGCATCATTGCATACCAATATATTTACAAATATGTACATATATACAAAAAAGTATACAGAGAGATTGCATTTAGCATCACAAAAATATACACATGCGATTACAAATAAAATAAGATTTTTAAATAAATAAGGTCAACAAAAGAGCCCTCCGTGTAAATACCCTTTATACTCTCCAAACACACACAGGAACATATACATCCAAAATATCACCAGGAGATTCATACCATTCATATTCGTATCAAATCTTTTTACTCACTTAGGGTAGGGAGGTGGTTCTGAATCACTGGCAGTAGCCAAGTTGGCTGACCCTTGGCACCTTACTCTATTTCCAGTACAGAATGTTCTCTATATATCAGGCTGATTACAAGTCTTCATGGATAACTAAGTACAAGATTTTCCAACTGCGTCCAAACCCCTTTTAAGAGACAGAAAGTTATGAAGTAACACAGGTCAGAGATTAAACTTGGAGAAGAATGCTAAAGAAAGCTCCACAGATTGATATATAAATCAGACTGGATGCTTTTCCATTTTCCTTGATGAAATTCAGTACAATTACCACCTAATCTGTTTCAGGGAATTCTATTACAAGAAGAAAATAAAGGGCGGTAGCCACAAGTAAGGAAAAAATAAACCCCAGATCCTGTATCAGGAAAATTTCAGTCATGACTAGATTGCACTTTGCTTTTATAATTTCAAAACATTTCAACTTGGTAAAAATATAAAGGGTATAATAAATTCTCTGTGCTTTGAGAGGTTTTGAGAGCACCACTTCCTAGGAGGAAAACACACACACATATACAAAAAAATATATCCTGGCTAGAATCAAGGCTAAATTGTCTGACTTGGGGATTTCTTATAATTAATAAATAAAAATTTGCAGGGCTGACTGATTTCCTGGTTTCAATATTAGATATATTTTAAAAATACCTTAACCTTTTGTGCCAAAATAGAAATCTCTAATTATTCCTTTTTGTTCATTATAGAAAGCAACCTGAGCTACTTTCTAGAAAGACTGGGCTGAGGTCAGGAGATTTGAGTTTTAGTTCTAGATCTGCCTCTATGAATAAACCTACAGTGTTTTGGGGTCTCAGCTTTCTCTTCTGAGAAATAGGGAAAATAGCTGCTTTACCACCTTCAGAAATATATGGATAAAGAAAGAGAAAATAATTCCATTGTGCTTAACACTGTTCTCTGTGTAAGGGACTTCTTGCAATCCTATACCTTGTTTTGTTTGCAGTGATTCTTAAGGGAGGTGAGAGACTGTATCAGAATCTCCAGGGGGAGCTTGTGCAATTTGAAAACAAAGAAGTGCTTTTTTCCCTTTGCTTTGTTCTTAGTTCCAATGTTTAAATTTCTATGAATTCTAAAATTAAATAAATAAGGGGCTTAATATTTTTATATTTATAAAGGGGAGTGGTATGCACTGAAAAAAGGGATTCTTTGCCAATACCCATGGGTGATTGTCCTCTTACATTTCTTCTTCCTTGCTTAAAGTAATGTCTTAAAATGTAGAAGCCTGGTGATGGGTACAGGATGGTTCATTAAATGCTACATATGCTTAAAATTTTCCTAATAAAAAGTAAAAAAAAAAGAAACATGAATTGTTTGCACAAATATAATCTTCTCACTAAGGCTTACCCTGATCACTCAGACACTGTTCTTCACCCCAAAACAACCAAAACATTTCCCTTACCATGTTCTAAATTTTCTTCATACAACTTACAACTCTCTAACATAAATTTTCTTATTATGTTTATTGCCTGACTCCTACTAAAATATAAGCTTCATGAAGACAAGGATTTTAAAGTCTGATTCATTTGCTTTCCCAATGCCTAGAACAAAATCTGGAGTATAGTTTGTTCAGTCCACATCCTCTTGAAGGCATGAATGAAACAATGGTACAGAATTTTCTAGCACAGTTTTCCTTTCTTAAAGATTCAAGATCGCTTCAGCTCACTTTAGATTTTTAACCACCAGTAAGAAATTACACTACTATCAGCTTAAGGAACAATGTCATCATCTAAACCCTCGTCATGATTTCTAAGACCCCTTGTTCTTGGACAAACATGTTTCTAATCACAAAAGCTCTAATTTCTTCACCAGATTAGCTTCTACAATAACTGAGACTCAGATATTTTCGTGAACAAAAACAAATTAAATATGACTTAGAAAAGAAAATGTCTATGGTAAATTCAGGGAAACTAGTTTTCCAGGTTGCGGGGGGAAGGAAATCAAGATTGCAATTATAGAACCATAAAACTGGATAGGACCTTGGGCTAATGCCTTCGTTTTACAGATGAGAATATTATAAAACAGAAACATGAAGACACTTGTCAAAGGGCATAAAGCTAGCTACCAGAGAAGCCAGGTTTAGAACTCAGGTCTCCTAGTTCTCAGACCAGTGTTCTTTATGCTAAACAGGTGAGAATAAAGCTCAGGAGGATAAATACTATTTTAAGCATCAGAGGAGAGGAAAATACGTGAGGTCAGGTACATTACTGGCACAGAAATTCAGGGGGACTGAAACAAGAGGTCAGCCTATTGCTATAAACCAGGTGAACACCATTATGAAAGGAAAGCCAAAAAGTTTATAAAGGTACTGAAAAAAAGAAAAGCAGTCTTTATCTGATAAAGAAAAACAACCCAGTAGGCAAAGGAAATCTCCCTCCAGGATAAGTTTTCAAGGCTTTTTGAAACAAGGTTTAAAAGAACAAATAATGAAAAAAAAAAAAAAGAATGAAATACCACGAAGTCCCCTAAACCCAAGAACAATAATTTCAAGACTTCAGATGAAAAATCAGCAAATTGGAACAGGTATATGAATAACTTAGTCCCAAATAATTCCCTATGCCTGAAATGAAAACCAAGTTAAAAATATTACAGTAAAATTTCCCTAAGGACACAGGACAGAGGCACCAAAAGCAATCACCTTATTTCCTCTGGGACTGCCAGAGGTAGACTGTGAGCCTGTACAAATTCTACAATTAGGTAGAAGGGCTTTTGGTTCATAAATTCCTGAACTTGAATGCTGTGGAGTCAAAAGAAGGGGAGAAAAAAACCCAAAGCATCATCACTAATGCTTATGAAATTATGAAGGGGATGACAGAGAAGAAAAACACAAAAAACTTTATATTATATACGGATTCCTATTTAAAATAATAAAAAAAACTTGTGCATGAATATAAAATATTAAATATCAGAATTAAAAAAAATCTTATTTCCAAATTGTCAATGCAAAAGTTACTTCCATTTTAGGTTAAATCAGAATTCAGTTATCCCCAACTAAAATTAATAACATCTCTGACTTTGATATCTCATAAACGTGAACTAGGCAAAAAGATTATATAACCTCTGTACTGTATGCCACAGCCTTCAATCTGGATAGTCTTTAAACTTGATATCATGAATTAAGAGTTTAAATAGAATTCCTGCGGAAACATTGTATTATGAAACCAACAATCTGATTTTTTGACTGAAATACTTAAAAGTCTTTTTTTTTTCATTTCTAGCATTCAGATTACAAAGAAAGCAAAATATGCCAGCATATCTCATGATAATACAGGGCTCACACATTCCAAGTGATATTTATCATCTTAAGACTCCAATTAAAGATTTAACTTTTAGATGCAAATCAATCCTATACAGTTTCTGAAATTATGACAGGATTTAATGAATTAAATGATTTCAAAAATTGTCTTGATATGCTTCAAAGAATCACACATTTGTCTACCTACTAAGTTGGAATGAAAAGAAATATTATGGAAAGACTGTTCTTGATTTTTAATAGTCCATGCTGGCTAGTTTCATCTTTGTGAACAATGATATATTTTCTAAATCCACACATTTAAGGTCCAAGTATAAGAGTTGGATTTTCTTCATTATATAAAAATAAATGATTTACTCTTCTGAGGGTGAGAACATTGACTATATGTGTGTAGGGATAGATGTTGGAGGTAAGTAGCCATACCTCAAAACCGAAAAGTAAAAATTCCAAGATTAATTGAGTTTTTTAAAAGACTTGAAAGACTGTATTTTAAAACAGTTACCCTAAAAGTCTGAATAATTTTTTCAGTTTGTTTTTAAAATGGTGGCCTTAAATTAAAAAATTAAAACTAAGTAACACCACTATGTGTCTGTCATCACATTAGAAAACGGCACCATGTAAAATCTGTGGCAAATGAAAAATTGTTTCAACAAGAGGATTTTTGTTTTAATAGTCATCTATGGTACTCTCGAGGAACACATTTCGAACATCCAGAATGGACGCTAATTCCAGAATGTGCTTCTGGAGGTGAGGGTTCTCCACTGTTTCATCCCTTGGCAGTTGGGGATATGATTCTGGATAGTTTCGTGTTTCCTGGTAGGCAAAGGAGAGGAAAGTCAAGTTTTAGAGTTTAATGAAGGAAATTATATACAACATTAATAACATTACTGTTAACATTACAATATTAGGAATAACTTAATATGTAGTTCTCTGCATAGTAGTATGATTCTTTTTTTTTTAGGTTTTTTTTTAAGATTTTATTTAATTGTCAGAAAGAGAGAGAGAGAGACAGCAAAGCAGGGGGAGCAGGAGAGGCACGTGGGACTCGATCCCAGGACCCCGGGATCATGACCTGAGCCGAAGGCAGACACTTAACCGACTGAGCCACCCAGGTGCCCCTAGTAGTATGATTCTTAATAGCAGTGTACTTGTTGAACATAGGAAATTGCTGATATTTGGCTACTTGAACCTTCAAAAATTACAGTTTCATATGGTTCGACCTAATACATTCATTCAGTGAGTTACTTTACAAGTATTTATTGGGTCTTGACACTTTTGAGTACTCTCCTGTATTGTAGAAATCATACAATGCCAACTTCTTAGGGGAAAGTCCTAACATATGTAGGATTTCAACAAGTATTTGGCTAAATGAATGAATAAATAGATGTTGCAGCAGAAATTAAAATGAGAGGAAAGACATGAGAAGCACTGAAAAAGTCAAATTAATAAGCCTTGGCTGGGGCACCTGGGTGGCTTAGTCAGTTAAGCATCTGCCTTTGGCTCAGGTCATGATCTCCGGGTCCTGGGATTGAGCCCCACATCAGGCTTCCTGCTCAGTGAGGAGTCTGCTTCTCCCTCTCTCTCTCTCCCTCTACCCCTCTCCACTGCTTGTTCTCTTTCTCTTTTGCTCTCAAATAAATACATCTTTAAAAAAATTAATGAGCCTTGGCAATTAATTCTAGGACAGGGAGGTGTCAAAGATGACTGTGAGATTTTAGGAAGAAATGACATAAGAGAAGAGCTAGGAGCCATTTGAGAGAAAAAGAGAAGTACAAGAGGAAATGATTTGGAGAGAGTATAAAGCTTCAGGTTTTAGATATAGTTTATTTGAAGTAATAGGGTAATACAAACAGAACTGCCCCTCAAAAGGAATTTGAAAATTCAGATCTATCTCAGAAGACAGGTTTGAGCAGTATATGCAAAGACGGATATAATATGCATGGAGATAAATATTAAAGCCATGAAAATGGCTAAGATTTCTAAGAATATTAGCAAACAGAGTGAAAAAAAAAAAGAGTCCCTAAAAAAGGAAATACCAGAAAGAAAAAAAACAAAACAAAACAGAAAAGGAATAGTAAAGGAAAAAGAAAAAAAAATTGTAATTGCATAGAAGCAAAAGAAAGAGACCATTTCAAAAATGAGGTATTCTCACTTGGAAACTCTTCTTTATTTGGTAATTTCTTTTTTTTTTTAAGATTTTATTTAAGGGTGCCTGGGTGGCTCAGATGGTTAAGCCTCTACCTTCAGCTCAGGTCATGATGCTAGGGTCCTGGGATCGAGCCCTGCATCAGACTCCCTACTCACGGAGAGCCTGCTTCTCCCTCTCCCTGCTGCTTCCCCTGCTTGTGCTCTCTCTCTCTCTGTGTCAAATAAATAAATAAATTCTTTAAAAAGATAATGAAGATTTTATTTATTTGAGAAAGAGAGAGAAAGCAAGAGCGAGGACAAGTGACGGAGGAGGGATGGGGGAGAGAGAGAAGCAGACTCCCTGCTGAGCAGGGAGTCTGATGCAGGGCTCAATTCCAGGATCCTGGGATCATGACCGGAGCCAAAGGCAGCCGCTTAACCAACTGAGCCACCCAGGTACCCCTTGGTAATTTTTATAGACTATAATTTTATCACCCATTTAAAATTTCCTGGAGAAATAAGTTACTGCTTTTCTATGCATCTCACATGACAGTTCATATATTCAAATATCACTTCTACTGTTCTTCAGCCCTTAGGCGTTACTCATTACAAGTATAAAGACCAAAATTTTGTTTTACCACACTAAATACTAAATACTCCTCATATAGACAAAAAAAGAACTGTTCAACAACCCTAAAAAAAAAACAAAACCAAAAAACAAGAACTACTGGGGGACTATTGTAAGGTGAATAATTCTCTCACTCACACAGGGCTGAGAGATGTTTGAGGTCTGACCAAACACTTCCTAGAGTGGAGAAAATCTGTTGAAACAGGGGACGTATGAAAGAGACCCCAGAAAAATTATGCCTCTTAGTATTGGGCCAAAATAAACCTACATCTGTATGCTAACACTACTCTAAATCTATCCCTAAAATGCTTAAAAACAAGTCATAAGAAGGTCAAAGGAATTTGCAAGTTGATTTAACCCCTGCTACAATAAACAGAGTCCAGAATTCAACAACATGAAATTCACAATGTACATACTCTACGAGAAAATTACTAGACATATAAAAAATGAGGAATATGAGAGCCCTAACCAGTAGGAAAAATCATAAACACAAACTTATAAATGATAGAGAATATAGTCTTAGCAGACAAGGACTTTAGCTCTTACACATACATTCAAGAGCACAAAGGAAAACATAATGAGGAGGGAAATGGAAAATATTAAAAGAACCAAACAGAACTAGAGATGAGAAAAATGTAATTCCTGAAATGAAAAACTAACTGGATAGGATTAACAGTATTTTAGACACTAAGGAAGAAAACATCAGTGAACTTGAAGACACAGCAATAGAAACTGAAGCAGAAAGAAAGAAAGAAAAAGACTTTTTTGGAAAAATGAAGGGCACATGAAGTGATGTGGAGGTTAACAACAGGTTGTCTAATATATATGTAACTATGTCCCAGAGAGAATGGAGGAAGAAAAATATCTGAACAAAAATGACCAGAAGTATTCCAAAAATATTCCATAGATCCAAGATGATCAATGAACTCTAATTAAAAAAAAAAAAATCCTATCAAGGTATATCATAATCAAATCATAAGAAATAATATGAAGAAAAAATCTTAAAAATACCCAGGGAAAAATGAAAAGACACATTACACATCACAATAATTGATAGAACAAGTATTCAGAAAATCAGTAAAGATATAAAAACCATGATGAACAACATTGTAAGTCAAGGTTATCTAAAAGACATTTATAAAACTCTGTATCTGATGTTATGACATTATTAGCATGTATGTTTATTGAAAGTATCTGTGGAACATTTACCATGATAGATGACATCTGGGTGATAAAACAAGTTTCAATAAATTAAAAGGATTTAAGCCATACAAGGTATATTATCTGACCACAAAGGAATTAGCTTAGAAGTCAGTAAGATAAAGATAACTCAAATATTTTTTTATTTTTTTTTAATATTTATTATTTGAGAGAGAGAGCAGAGGGAGGGGCAGATGGAGAGGGAGAAGAGCCTCTCAAGCAGACTCTGCCTTGAGCATGGAGCCAAATGGGGGGCTCGATCTCACAACCCTGAGATTATGACCTGAGCTGAAATCAAGTCAGACACTCAACAGACGGAGCCTCCCAGGTGCCCCAATAACTCATATATTTAGCTACAAAACAACATATTCTTAAATAACCTATGGTTCAAAAAAAAAAGAGTGAAATAAAGACTGTTTCAGAGAAATAATGAAAGAATTACCATCAGATTTGCACTCTAAGAAATGATAAAAGAAATTCTATAGTAAGAAAAATGATAGCAGATGGAAAATTAAATACAGGAAGAAATAAAGAGCGGCAAATTTTAAAAAGATTTTAGTTATTTATTTGAGATAGAGAGCGAGAGAGTACAAGTGGGGCGAGGCACAGAGGGAGAGGGAGAAGCAGGCTTCCCGCAGAGCAGAGCCCAATACGGGGCTCAATCCCAGGACCCTGAGATCATGACCTGAGCCTAAGGCAAACACTTAACCAAATGAGGCACCCAGGTGCCCCATCATTTAAAAAGTTTTTAAAAAGATCATTCATTGACTGTTTAATGCTATGCTAACCACAAAGTATCATTTAGTATATACCGATTCATAAAAGTCAAATGTACAGAGTAGGAGGGACAATATAAAGGTATACTGTTATAAGACAATTATATTAAATGTGAAGTCGTATTAATAAGTAAAACATATAAAGGTAAATCAATACTATTGTTAAAATAAAATTCTAAACCAAACCAAACCAAAACAAAACAAAACCTCTGTTAATTCAAATGAAGATGAAAGCAGCAGAGAAAGAAAAAAAAAAAACCACAGCCAGGACAAATGAATAACAAATAATAGTATACTTAAATCAAACTAATTTTTTTTAAGATATTTTTTATTTATTTATTTGACAGAGAGATAGAGAGCACGAGTAGGCAGAGCGGCAGGCAGAGGGAAAGGGAGAAGCAGGCTCTCTGCTGAGCAGGGAGCCCGATGCGGGGCTCAATCCCAGGACCCTGGGATCATGACCTGAGCTGAAGGCAGACGCCTAACTGACTGAGCCACCCAGGTGCCCCTTAAATCAAACTATGTTACAAAATTACATTTAATATTAACATAATTCAAAACTAAAAATATCAAATGAAAGTAGAGACTGGCAAACTAAATAGAAGAAAAAAGAAGGACCTAACTAATGCTACTGAAAAGAAATCCACTTTAGGGGCGCCTGGGTGGCTCAGTCGGTTAAGCATCTGCCTTCAGCTCAGGTCATGATGCCAGGGTCTTGGGGTTGAGCCCAGCATCGGCATCTGGTTCCCTACCCAGCAGGGAGTCTGCTTCTCCCTCTGCCTCTCTGCCTACCCACCCCCTGTGCTCTCTTTCAAATAAATAAATAAAATCTTTAAAAAAAAAGAAGAAAAGAAATCCATTTTAAGTATAAGGAGAACCATAGGTTAAAAGTGAAAGTGTGAAAAAAGATTTGCTATGCAAACACAAACCAGAAGAAAACAGGTATGGTTATATTAATATCAATCAAATAGATTGCAGATCCAGGAATACTGCCATGCATAATAGATATTTCATAAATGAATGGGTAATTTCAACAAGAAGATAGAACAACCCTAAGTATGTGTGAGCTCAGTAACAGCTTC